CGAAAGGAAGGAAGGAAGCAAGCAAAGAAGGAAGGAAGGAAGGAGCAGCATTAAGAAGATTTATTTTAAATCTGCCAAACTGTAGTTAAAATGATCACGGTCTAGTAGTTCTAGTTCAACTTAATCGAGAAGGTTATGAAGTCTAATCAAAGCTGATGGTTTTATTGATTCTGGTTTACATCTCTGCCATCTGGGCTGAGCTCTCCTTGTGTTGGCCTGCAGCAAAGCAACCTTTGGATCTCTCATCCCAAATATTAGGTTAGTTAGAATGAGGTTAGAAAAAATATGATTTCTCTGTGAAGCTCAGGTGCATTAGTGTTTTGAGGGCTACACACAGATCTTTGATGGTGTTTCTGAGGGATTTTAAAAGGCAGCTGTAAAGTTAGCAACTRCATTAGAGTATAACATCTATGCTTCTGCAGTTTAAGCCACATACTTAAATAATGGAAGAGGAATGTATTCTCCCAAATCTCACAAGTCTAATCCAAACTAAATTAAAGGAATAATTTTATTGTAAATAGCATTCCAACAAAAATATATTCTAATTAAGCCACTGTAACTAAACAGTTTAGAAGTCTAAATCTCTGGAGGCAAATGTTCAGATTAGTAAGTGGGTTTGCTTTCAGGTAAGCCTGGTTTCTGCTCTGCTTGTCACTAATGATCACAGACTACAGGCTTTCAGTAAACACAACAAGAAATATTTGCTTATGCATAATTCATTAACCATTTCCAGTTATGTTTTACAAGAGAGGCTTTACTCAGATGCAGCATCGCCATGAGTATGACAAAGCAGAGAGAGCCAGGGTGAAATTTCACAGTACTCATTAATCACAACCAAACTAAATGATTATACCATGAAAGGTCAGGAACCAGCTTGTGCGATTCACTATGGGAGCTTTGCACTATGTGCAGTGCCTTTTTGTACCCTTTCCCTCTGTTTCCACCCACCATGCTTTACATTCATGCCATATGAGATTATGTTGATACTTTTGTTCTTTCAAACACTACATTTACCACTGTGGAACAAGTGTTTCCTATTCAAATAGATAACACGGAATTTTAAAACATTTTTTTTCTTTTAAAGTGGGAAAAAAAATTGCAGTAGTCTTGACTTGATGAGGCAACACAGTGCAAGTTCATTTCACTGAGCTGCCTACACATACTATTTCAGCAAAAAAGAAGTTGTCAAAACTATTTCAGGGTTGTTGAATCCTATTTACTGGAGCAGCTTACTGCATTGCACTAGCACAGAATTCTTCAGAATATTAGAACTTTGGCAAAATGTATGCRAAGAAACAGGAGAGCTATAGTTGTCATGAAAACAGGGATGTGACAAAAGTTACATTTTAATTTAAACTTCTGCAGAAAGTGAGACTGCATAGCACTTCAGATTTCAATCTGTTTCTTTTCTGCTTTTGCTCCAGCTATGTGGTATGTTTTCAAAGCTTACACAACCTGGCCATAGTTTTGCTACTGTTTTATCTTTCCCACCCCTCTTGCCTTGTAGCCTTCCAAGTTTCTCCAGCTCCTGCACCTCCTTAGTCATCCTTCCTCTGCAGATGTTTATTTTGCTGTCCTGCTTGTGGATGATCCAGTGATCATCCACTGTGAGCCAATGGAAGATGGATTAAGCATGCTGGAGGGTTCAACCTTTTGATGTGCTTGTTTATAGTGGTATGGGTTTACAATTGGACAATRATCTGGAAGGTCTTTTCCAATCGTAACGATTCCATGATTCTGTGATTTCCCTCATGTCAATAGTTTGCAGGGAGGAAGGCTGCTTACTGGCCTGACCGTGTTTGCTGTGAGCTTGATGTAGCAGCACCCAGCAGGATATTCTTCCTCAGCAGGCGACATCATTTGAGGGACTTCTGTGGTGTGTAGGTGGAGGAGCAGAGGAGAGACACTGTAAGAAGCACCGGGYGGCAGGCTTGTATGAGGAGTGGGGCTCTGTCTGCATTTTGTCCTCAGTGTACTTCACTGAGATGGAAAATTTTAGTCTGAAAAGCAAAAGGAAAAAAACATAAAATGTCTGTGCAGAAAGTCACAAACAGTAATATGCCTGCTCTGACTTTCCATGGTAGCTTAATATGAGTCAATAGGAACCTGAAGTTTCATTAAATGATAGGTTGTCATCTAGCTGGGAATAGGGATTATTAGCTCGGGAGTTTAATTTCTAATTACTAATCTTCCTTTCATTGCTAATGAAGCAACATACAGCTCTCAGACTAGCCTAGCTCTTTTCTGCCTACCTCGGACAGTTTATCTGCTGAGAAATACTGTTCCATGGCTTTCCCAGGGAAATGATGCAATAATAATTGAGTCTTGACAAGCTAAAATACATAATATACTCAGAAACAACCTCTACAAAACTATTTTCTACTGCCAACTAATGGACTGCACAGTTTAAGAGGCCTTCTGACATTGGTTTTATTCACAATACACATATTGTATATCATATATATAGAAGTCTGAGTCTGACCATATTTCAGTTTCACCAAGTAACATTTGCTAAAGATAGTATTGACAAAATTTTTCCATACCCATGTCCTTTTCCATAAAGCATACTGCTCAAATACCATACTGAAAATAGAAAAGTGCCTGTAATTGGGGAAAGTACTGAAGAAACAGAACATTCATTATAGATGTGAATGTAATCATGTTTCTTTCAGAAATCTTATTAGAGTTTATTATGTTGTGATGTAAAGTTTGAAACAAAAGTAGGTGCACATTTTATTAAAAAGAAAATTCCTAGGAGTATTTATTTTTTCTATAAGCAGTTACTGCTMCTTTAGCCTTTTTCTTTTTATGCCCCTTCTGCATTAAACGCTTTATGTAACAAATTTAAATGTTGATATTTCTACAACTGCTCATTTCTTCTTTATATTTCCAATCTTTTTTTATTTGAAATTATTTATAATTAAAAGGCCAAAAATATTTTTGTTCATAAAATAGATTAATATTTGGTGAGATAACAAGCCAAAAATATATAAACTTCTTCAAGAGACCTCAGTGACATTGATGTTCTGAGATGTTTCACTGTTTCACAGAGAAAGCATTATGAAAATAACCAATTTTAATAATAAAATATTTTTTTTGTTCAGGTTTTTTTTCCTCCAGAAAAGAACTAGAATACCTGATACTGTAGTTCTAGTTAAAAAAATTAATCAGTATATTGAAAAACAAATGAATATCTTTTTTTTTTTTTTTTTTTGTACAGAAATGGCATTAGTATTACAATGGTAGTGTTACAAGAGATCCAATAAATGATATTCTCCTATTTTAATTTTTAACATTATAGCAAGATGTAGTTATATTTTCTCTGTGTTTGTGGACCAAGAAAGATATATGAAATACAAAACAGAATCATGTGCATTACGGAATAGATGGCTGAAGAGACTACTAGGAAAAACTTCTTAAAAACAGATTTTTCCTTATTTGTGCCTTTTTCCTTACGTGTGCCTCTAACTAATAATTTTATATTCATATCTCAGTTTTAATAGAGATACTGCATTAATGTATAAGCTGTATGTATGCATATATGTATGATATGTATAAGCTGAAGGTATGTATATGCATAAATATAGCTAGGTATAAAAGAAAATGACAGTTTTAAACACTGTTCTTCTGATTTTGCCAAATCAATGCCTTTAAAGAAAGGTAATTTTTTTAACATCTAATCAGACATGATAGGTATTGTATTGATACATCCTTTTTTTTTCAGAACACTAAAGTCTTTCAGAATTCGTTGTCAGAAGCTTCATATGGTGAAATGCATACTCCTCTAATTTTTTTTTTACCACTCATAGCATAAAATAATCAAAGATCTGCATAGAATATCTTCTGAGAGCTGTTCAGCAAGGGAATGATCTAATGTGTTAAAGTGTTTTCATGTCTATTCAATGTGTTTCAATTTTTTTGAAGAGGAAACTCATGATTTTTCATTTTCCACATTATGTCAAGGTGTGGAATATTATCCAATTTATAAATATTTATCAGTTATGCTGATAACAGAACAATGACCTTTTTTTCTGCCAGCAATATCCTATTATCCCAAGAAAAATCAATTCCTTCATAGACTTTTATTTGATATGCAGTCTGATTCCCCTTTCCAATCCACATCAATGTATTTTTAATGTTCTTCTCATATCCTGAAGACTTTACTTCTCCAGCTGTTGCATGTTAAGGACAATTGATTTCCACGTGAGTTCTGCATGCTCAGTTGATGCAGTGTCACATGATATTTTTAATCTATTATAATAACATATTTCTGYTAATGATATTTTTGTTATTTTTAATATTATCCAGGCATCAGAAAATTGTGATGTATTCCTTGTTTTTAGGCATCAAAATTGAAAATATGTATGGACATGAGAAAAAAGGAATCTGCAGAGATAAAAATGGTTTGGACGCGTTTGTGGGAGAGCTATATTTGTACATAAGAATATTCTTCGGCTTTTTAACTTATCTACTTCATTTGCAGAGTAGTGTTGAGATAAAGAGTCTGTGATTGCTTTTGGACTGCACATGCTAAGCAATGTAATGTGAAGGAAAGATGGTTCTAGCTATCAGAGGACGTCATAGAAATAGAATTGATTTTTTTGAAAAATCATGTTAACATAGGTAATAATTTAATAAGCACATGAATTATTTACATTATGTTGAATATGCACATGAGTTTATCTATCTTCGAGCTACTAYGAACAACTTCTGTGGAAAATCTGAGACCATTCTAGATTCCAGCATGTCTCTGATGCTCTGTTTCTAGTCTATGAGTTTTGCTTTTTTTGTCTTTTGTTGTTGTTGTTTGTTTTTTTTTGTTTGTTTTGTTTGTTTGTTTTTAATTCTGTCCTTTTTAACATACTAAATAAAAATAAATTTATATTTTCTTAGAAGTTTTTCATTTGTTCTCCAAATTATGCCAATGCATAATTAAATTATCCTTTTGGCAAAGTGATAGGTTTTATCCCTTGTCAGATTTCACTTATTTTTTCTTTCAGAATATTCAGAAGCTGTTCCTGGCCTCCCTACTTCATATGCTGCTATCCTAAGGATTAAATCTGGCAGCTCATCTTTAGTCTCATTTAATTCAAAGAACAGACCACGATTAAGCAGCCCTTCATTAGGCAGCATATCTTCTCCAGGCTGGAGAGGAGATGCACAACATTATCACTCTCCAACAAATCTATATCACTTCTCAGAGGCCTTTAAACATGATGGTAAGTCTAATTTTCCTTTCTAAATCTTTGAAATGACTGTGCTGTATTTTCTTGGCATTTTTAAAAGTTGTACATTGTTATTAGCTTGAGAATTTCTAAAACATAATTTTGTTTTTACTAAAAAACACAAGGTAAAAATGAACTTCTTTTCCTTTAGATTTTAAATTTTTAAAAAATTGAAAATTTTAGAAATTTTAAAGGCACCATCTTAACTTAAAACACTTCTTAAAGATTCCTATGGGGAAGTTTTTTATACAGTCTTTGCTACATGAAAGAAACTAGTTTGATATTCTATTAAAAATCATTTGTTCCATTAAACTAATGTCCATAGTAAAGCAACAAAATGTGTGTGTGTATGTATAAACACAGATATAGATACTCCCATTTGGATTTTTTTCTAATTTACTCAAAATTTATAGTAACTAGAATTCAGAATTAATAGTAAATCTTATAAAATTACTTTTTCTCTAAAATATATATACTATGTAGTCAGCTGTATTTCATGTATGCTTGCATGGACAGACATACCATTACAACATAGTGCCTTTTAACTTTAAATGCAGAAATTGATAGTAACAATACATATTTTCTTCTATTTCCTAAGTTCATAAAAAGCCAAATTTCTGTTCTGATATCTTTTAAGATAATCTTTATCTAAATTATATCCAGGAAAGAAAGAAAACAAATGGATAGAAAGAGAAGTGGAATAGTAACAGAAGGAAATTACAAATAATAAGCAGTCATTCAACAGTCTACATGCAACATAATCTTTGTGATTACAGGATTGCATGTAGTGGAAGTCAATGTTGTATGCCTAAGTGCTCTTGTGAAATACAGCAAGCTTGAATATATATTTCCTGAATTAAGGTTTTTCTAGTACACAATCAATCAGAGTCATGCAACCAGATAAATTCTGTCTGAAGACATTTCTGGAACTGGGGAAGATTTCTGCATTTGTCTGTCATGTGCAATACTGTTTGTAAGCTGCCTAGACTACACTTAGTTATGGTCCATTTACCTGACCTTGATAACTCCTCCCAGGAAACCTGCTTTGTGTAGGCAAAAATCAAAGATGAGGACTGGAACCAGAGTTTTACTATCTTGGTAGCTGACAGCCTGAGTGTCTGGAGACTGAAGTAGAAGAAATTGGTAGCTGCAAGGCAAATGAAACAGATTTTATGAATAATATAATATAAGCTGGAACTGCAAAGAAGCTTCTCCCTGCATGACCCCAATTTTTCCATTTCATTTCCTTGAGAAAAGACAGTCTGGCAACTTAAAGGCAGCTTACGATGTTTAAATATGATAAGAATTTTGACTGCTACATTTAAATGTTTACTTAGATAGACCTCAAAAATTTTAAGGGTCCTCAAACTTTGTTCTCTACCACCTAAATTCTTGCAGTTTCCAGAAGATGTACCAAGATTGTTTGACATGGTCCAACAATCATGAATCATAGCAAAACAGAGGGACTGCATTCCAWCCCCAGAGTTGAGTTTTCAAATTTTTTTTCAAGAAAGAAAGAGATGATATTTAATAGGTGACTAAATAATAAAAAGAAAGGCCATTATTCATATGTCCCACATATCGGCCATTATTCATATGCCCCAGGTATCCATTCTGAAGGATAAGGATTGTATTAAACAGTCCTGGGAGAATCACTCCATCACTTACAGCTCTTTGTAGACCCAGCTATGAAGTAGCCCAAACAGTTAAATTTGAGGCACTCATTTCATATTTTTAAATAATTTGGTTATCTTAAGCACTTGCATGGCACAAGTATGAAACAGGGCCCAGGAGAGTTGGCACACAAAGCAGCATTGAGGACACTGTGTAAGAAGGCCAGACAAGAAAAAAAAAAAAAAAAAAAAAAAAACAAGCTGCCTGCCTCTGTGCAGGCAGTTGGAGTAAACTTATTCTCTAAATCTCTCTCAGTTGATGACATGGAAATCTTCTATGAATGACTTCACGTTTGAGAAAAATATTTGCCTTTGGTATTTGGAAAACAGAATAAGTTCCCCATCTCAAGTGTCTGGCATTCCATTAAATTACTGAATTGAATGATTTTTCTTTGTTATGAAAGCATATTTTCAGATTGTAGAACTCTTGAAGGAAGAATATTTTATTTCCTTTTCTATAAACCTTATGTGACAGAGTTTTCTAGACAGAGCCAACTAAATGAAAAAATTGCACAGCATACAGTACTTGTTTATGGTCATGAGGGGCCCACTGCAATTTTCAAGCAAGAATACCAGGGCATTAGTAAGAGAGAAGAAAATATATTTTAGGTTACTGCAGTTGAGATCTTGCATAATTCAAAGAACTAATATACAGCCTACATTCAGGAGATGAGTTTGCTATGAGAAAAGACAAAATTCTGTTATTAGCTGCCTAAGTATACAGGTTCTCAAGTGACTTCTTAATTGATTTCCCAGAAGAGCTGCTCAGAGGCCTGACATGGCTTCTAATAAAGCTCCTCTTATACCGACTTTATGCCATTTAATTTGCACTCTTAATTCAGTATGGATATCCTGATATCTCAAATTGAAAGAACTATGCTGCAGCTCACTGATGAACTTAGACTTAGCGTAAACAAGCAGTTAAGGGCGCACAGTCTTTCCGTTAGTTAAATTCAAACTCTGTATCAATTTGTAAATTCACAGCTAAAGAATGTGCACCGCAAATTGCCAAATACTATCATGAAGTAGTACTGAAGAACCATAAAACTGTAAACACTCATACTGCCTCAGTGTTTCCACAACTTTTAGAAGGGCAGCAGTAAAGATAAAAGATTAATAAAGATTCAACCTTAAATGAAGACTATTTTTGTCCTTCTGACTTCAATTTGATATCTTTTAGTATAAAAGATAGCCTTAGTCCAAAACTGAAAGTGTTTGTATCATTTTACTTCAAGATATGAAAAATCTGAACCTAACTCTTGCTGAGTCTCTAGTGCCACAGGCTTTGTTCAGACATTTACTAGTCTGAATTAAAGACATACTACTAGAAAATTTATCTTTTCTAAAAGAAAAAAAAAAGAATGTTGATTAATAAATGATAGATTGAACTATTTAAGTTTAATTAAGTTCATTTTAGGTACCAAAACAGAGAAGGAGTAAAGTTTTCTAGCTACAGGAAAAACTTGTCCTAGCTTTCTTGATGTGCCAAAAATATATCTAATTCAGGAAGTAGAAATCTTAAAATCTAGAAGAATTGGCTGTATTTTGCAGTGTAAAGTGAGTCATGCCTGGGTAGTACACTGCTTAAATTAACTAAAACACATTTTTAGATACAATGTACATAAATATATACATAAATTTGTACATTTAAAATGTACGTAAATATATACAACTAATACCAGTGATTAGGAAGTAAATCAAGGATGGAGAAAAGCAAACTGTGCATAGATAAATGAAATTACTTAACGTTCTACAGAATTGAAGGTCTAGGAACTTTTATTCCCATTAGCAGTATTTCTCATGATTTAAAAACAACTGTGTTCTGATATCTCAGGAGAAAGGTCCAAAGAATATTTGCATTTTTTTTTTAATCAATAATTGAGGGAAAGACTGAAAGTGCATTTGTATGTAAGATTGCGAAACACATTCTGGCTGCTGCTGKAGATGGAGAGCTCCCAAGCTCCAGTTTCTGCTCTAGGGAAGGTTTTACTAAGTCAGATAGTCCATACTGAAAGTGCAAATTTGCTATATGGAGAGCTTCTGATTCCAATTGTAAAATAAGTGTTCATTGCATTAAATTGGCTAAAATGAAAATGGTAAATAATTAAAATAATAAATAAAATAAAAACATTACAAGTACTGGAAATAGCAAGTCAAAATTTGTGAAGTGAGAACAACCTGCCTGTTTTGTTGATTGGTTACAATTCATGCCTATAATTCCCAAGGCGTATGTGTCACTGTATAATATATCATCAGGCCTCACAGCAGTTCAGTATGCAGAAAACTGGTGATGTTTTAATAAAAGTCTAGGTGAGGAACGAAAATGTTGCCTTTGAGAAATTAAAGCAGTAAATTAAGAAATGTGTATGCCTATTCTTCCTTCTCTGTAGATGTAACCCAATTAAATAGAAACTTCAAATTATTCTGCATCATCATTCTTGTCATGATGCTTTGTAAGCCCTTATGTCATTTTATGCTCTTGGATACCTTAGAAAGAAATAAAATGATGAGATATGTAATTTAAACCTTCCTGCACACAGCCGCAGAAGACTGCCTTGTTTAAGAGCATGGGTCACTGAGAGTTAAATGGATGCAATCAAATATGATGCTCCTGGGCATAAATTGCTTTCCTGAGATGATTAGGAAGGATACACTACCTCCAATATACCAGAAGCTAGGTTACCTTTTACAGAGTTCAGTAATAAATTGGGTGCACTATCAGAAGGCTTTGCCTTTCCCCGCAGCACTTACTGCTCACAGGCACAGGCACCGTGTCCCACCAAGAGCCAGTCCTGCAAGCAAGCAGACCACAACTCTTTCTCCACTTTTAAAGCAAACAAATCACATAAAAGAGTACATGTGCAATGATAGAAATGCTGTTGTTTAGAGCACGTATGTTGTAGACATAACTTTATTGGTTATTTTATTTTATGAACTCTTTGCTTTACGATTGTAAAATGACATGTTTCTAATCCGTTAAAAACGTGGATGCATATAGAAGCCTGCTAGCTTCAATGGAATATCTCATACGTGCTCAAGTAGTTTTTATGATCAGCCCTTTTTTTTTTTTTTTTGTTATTGCATGGTGACCATTCATGTATAGTGCCATCTAAAAGTCTAACTTTGCAGTTCTGTTTTCTTGTGAGTAAAGTCTCAAAGAACATATGGCACCAGTTGTTCTTGATTAGAGACAAAGACTGATTTTTCAAGAAAGACTATCAGAAAGTGCAGGCTGGTGTAGCTGATTAGACCTGGGAGTGATAATCAAAGTTTATTAATCCTGATGTTAGCTGTCCTGAGTGTAATTGAGCAACATTCTAGCCTGCTTTATAAAAGGGCACATGAACAAGGTCTGTGAAGATTAATCAACATGCAGTTTGACTGCACACTGAAGAAACTGAATCTAAGTTTTTAATGGTGATTAATGAATGATGCAGTACTCCTAAAAGAGAAATTAAGAAATTCCCAGTTCTAATCAAGTGAAATTTGCATGGTAGCCCACTTCAGACTAGACTCCTCAAGCAGAAGGCAAATCAGGCTCTCCTAATTATTTCTTATTGTTATTAAAATAAATATATTTTGGATTTCCCAAATGAATGCATATGTTAAAATAATATATCAAAATTAGCAATGACATTTATTTAAAAGAGAGTTTTTAACTTGTGTACTTCTCAACTATTGGACTTTTTTGTCACCTACTTAAAATCTCGTCCTTAAAGCAGTAATAGATGAGATTTATCAATTCTTAGAAAGGCTTACTAAATCCCCTACAGATCATTAGAGCTGTATATATTATATATTTTCCAAGTAAATCAGATTTTAGTTTGCACATTATTCTCTCAGGATGTCTGTCTCCAAAACAATAATGACAAAGAAGAAGAAGACAAAGGGACAAAGAAGAAATGGTATCAGTCAAGAATCAAAATTAAATAGTACTTATAAATTGAGAATGATGAAGCACTATGGTTATTCTAGAATTTTCAGTCAAAATTTTAAACCATTTATATGGATGCTAATATCAATCCAATTCATTTACCGTGGAACTGGATGTTTTAAATTATAAATTAACATCATGGTTCCTTAATTCTCTTCTTCAATATCAAAATATCGAGAACTACATATAAATAATTGCTATTTTAAATATAAGTTGATAAATTGATCAAATTATAAAAGGCAATCAAAAATCTATTAAAATATACCATGCATGTACAGCCTTTCTTTTTTTAATAGTCTAGAAAATGGATTAGTTATATTAATTKACAATGAATTGTTCAGTCTCATTGTTCAATTTCAGAGATTCAAGGCAGTAGTATCAACACTGACTGGTACACTCCTCAATGCTCGCCTYATGATTATCTAGTCTTGTACATATTGTGGCTAATATATTCACTTTCTACTTGCCTCAATGAGGAAATAAGATCCACATTCCCAAGTGTCATCCCGCGATGAAACTGTAACATTGCTGGATCGGTGTGCACTGAATTCTGGGAAATGTTAGATCTCACAGTGCTAATGCAGTCTAAAATGACCTACATAGAAATCAGAGTATAGTAAGCCTCAGATGGTGTTCTAGTCAGAAGAGTCTAGGACTTTCCTGTAATAGGATGCTAAGCGGCTAAAATAGGCACCTGTCATTGAACTATGGAGACCCAAACAAGTTTATTTGAGCTATTAGAAGCAATATTTATAACAAAATTCAAGTTTATTTAATTCCAAGCCAATTCATCTTTTAATTTGAAAAAAAAAAATTAAATATATTTTTGAAAATATTTAAATGCAATGTCTGTATCTGCAGTGTTTCCTTCATTGCATTTGAAATAAAGACAGGAGATATAAAACACTCAGAATTTCRTATTGCTAGATTTTCACTGGAGTTTAAATAAAGATGATATTACCAGGTGATCTATTATGACTTCTTGCTTATCACAGCCCATGACATTTTATCTAATCACTCTTTATTAAGCCTAATAATCTGTATTTTATTAAAGTCTTGTCTTTTAAATATGTTCTTTGTTCTCTGCAGAATACTCCCGTTTGTTCATTTATTCTATTGCAGCCCAGATGATCTAACAAAGATGTAGTTTAGTCAATTTAGCTACAAACTGATGAACATTCTCATTCATTATTATGTCACTTCTGAGTCACCAAATAAACTCTCTTAGTGCTCCACACTCCATTTGAAATGCAGATAAGCAAGTAACTGCATCTTCCTGTCTTTCAGGAACATGACTTGCATCCATTGAACTTTTTCTATTACCTTTATTTTCACTGGAGACACCAGTAAAACCTTCATTGTTTTTCATTCCTCATAACAAAAGTATCCATTTTGGCACTGCCAWTAAGAACATCCGTCTGGCAGAATTCACTATTTTTTTTTTTCCAAGAGGAGAGTGAAAAATATTCTTTCCATATTGCGGTGGTGAATAGTGAAAATAGTCAAAGCTCTTGTACTTTTGGTGACACCGGCTCTTATGCTATACTGACATTGCATCCTTTTCTTTCTTTCCTATCAATCGTAACCTGTGACAAAAATGTTTAACCTATGGAATCATTCCTAGAAAGAAGACAAAACTTCTAGTCTCCATGCTTACTCCTTWAATGTACACATAACAATCTGCACATGATAACACATCTTAAATACTGATTTGGTTTTGCATTCATTAATTAATTGTTGTGTTTGCTGATTATTTATGCCCATATTCATTAGCCTTCTTCCCTGTTCTATGTAAGATGTGGGTAAATAATTACAAGAAACAATCTTAGCAATATATTCCCACATTTGTCTTGCTTAAGTTTTGCCAAATGATTACCTCTGTCTCCATGACAGCCTCAGATGAAGTGCTGAAAACTGAGTACTGGAATTATTTTAACTTCTGTAATATCAGAATCAGCGTAGTTTATTTTTTGAAAATAATGCAGAGATCTGTTCCAGAAAACAGATTCTTGACAGAAAGCCCAATTGAAGCAATTGGGCAARTACAGCATTAATGTAAATGTGCAGAAGAGTAATCCTGTCCCCAGTAATCCAGTCTACCAAGACCCATATTCTCATGACTATCCAGCCAAACTTCTGAGCTCAGGTCACAGTTCTTGGCTGAAAATCCATAATGAGTGGATGCAGTTGAATGGACTTAGGTAATACAGTAAATCATATTAATATTTCAGTTACTAATAAATAAATAAATAAATGTAGCTGAAGGAGGTCCTCCTCAGCTTCCTTACTTCCATCTGGTATTCRGTCTGGTAGGACAGTGATAGGGGGGCAGCTCTAACATTAGGTTCTACAAATATATCAGGAGGTCATAAACTGCTTAATGTGCCATACCGTTCTCAGTACTCCTTGGAGGTCTTCTATGATGTGAACATATGAAACTGTAAAAGTGACAGAGAGAACCCTGCTCCCTTATGTTTCATTATAACTAATTGGGCAATGTGCTGTTCCCCACATAGATGAAATCCTTAGGCCAGTGCTGTAAATTTGATGAGTATTATGGGACTGAGTTAAGAGTTGAGAACAAGCCCTAGCTGATTAAAATTCCACACTCTACTGTTTCATTTTGGGCATTTTCATTATTCAGATGTATGCTACACTTCCAGCCTTTTGCTGTTCTGAAAGTTACACTTCCCTCTATGCATTACGTGTAGTGGGCCATAGATGTATTCTATGAGCCTATTCAGTTTTCCTGTCAATAACTGTAAACTCATTGAAAATACAGATGTATGCTAAAATTAGAGAAGGCAGTGGAAGAAAATTAAATGTCAGATTTTGCCATATATTATTTAATAGTAACCACTAGATAGTGTCATTAATTTTACAAGTGATTTTTCTCAGCAGCTCTTTGACATAAGGGGAGAAAATGTGATAGTCTGAGTTCTTTGTAGTATGAGCTGTTGCAAATAGCAGCAGAATTTCTGTTTACCTTGTTCCTTATGGATGGGGATAATTCCTCAGATGTCTTAATCTTCCAGAGCCACTCATTACAGTTTGGACGAAAAGGGAAAAAAGAAAGAACGTGAGAAAGTGATTAAAATTCACAGCCATAGAATAAAACTTATTACTTGATTGTTACTGTACTGATAGTTCCTCCTGTTTCTTTTTTTTTCAGCTTGTCAACTATAACTTTTTTATATAGCATCTAGAATAATGTGACTTGAATGTCTGCAAAACTTGGATTCTATAATCTAACCCTTTAAAAACTACGGTGTTTTAACATTTTCTCAGAAATCCCAAACTACAATCCTTTCTCTTTTTTCAGAAAGTGTTGATTATGGACCAGTGTTTGTACAAGAACCAGATGATGTCATATTTCCCACTGATTCTGAAGAGAAGAAAGTGTCTCTGAATTGTCAAGCTCGTGGGAATCCCACTCCCACGTACAGGTACATGTTTTATATTTTTAGGTATGTGTGAGTTTCTGAATATGTGGCCACTACAGCCCATTCTGTGCATCAGTGTGCATCAGACAACACGATAATACAAAAGCTCTGTGACCCAAAAGGACTTGCCAGTTGTTGGGAGCAGTGAGCATTCCAAATAAGTAAGAAGCACAAGTAAAAGGAAATGCAGGCAAAGGGATTTGTAAAATACAAATCTTCTGTACTCTGTGCGCTATGTCTATCCATGTGGAGGGATACATTTTGTCTACTTTCACGACTCATGTCTGTAACAGCTGAGCAGATCAAAATCTTTAAATGATCAATTTTTAAAAAAAAAAAAAGGCTAGGAAAATAAACGATAAAGTTAGGAAACAGTATCTCTTTTCATAAAGAAAGCAATAAGAACAGGTACATTAAATGCCACAACAATGCAATATAAGAAACCATGCCTGAGGCAAACCTGGTGTCTTTCACTGCACAATCTATCCTTTCGGTCCTTAGTAGYCACCATCTTCATGTTAACTCTTTCCTATTTTCCCATACAAACTGTTCCCTCGCTGTTGCGAGGCATCTGAGATATGAGTTCATCAGACATCAGACATCCCAGTTACAGGTGGGAGCAGTATGCCACACTCACCCTCCTCCATTTGCTACATCTGGCTCTGCTCATATTTCATGCAAATTACAAACAATGAAAGAGAGTTGGAGGAGCATATGGTTAATTATTTTCTCCAGATACCCTTTATTTTTTTTTCATAGAGTCATTCTTCACACACAGAAGTATAGGGACTCTTACATCTGTGTTTCATCAAATATAAAGACCATCAAGTCTGCATTTTATTTGTTAACCTTCTTGTTTCATTTGAGAAGTTTGAGAAGTACCTGATCAACATTCCCTCTGTAATTTCTGTTGTCTATTTGCTGCTTTGTTCACTTATAAAAAACGATGTACATTAGTTCTCTATGCTATTACAGAACTGTCAGTCCGTCAAATATAGCATGTACTCATGGAGAAGAGGAGAAATTTCCACACAGAATAAGGGACTCTATGTTCAGTCCTCCCAGAAAACCTTATTAGTATTTTGGAATTGCTGTCCTTGGGGAACCCATGTCGTCTCCTTTCTTTCTTAGTCCACTCATTTTTAATTTTCATCGTATAATGAAGTAAAGTGATACAGATTTTAATTATATCTATTTCTTGACTTTACCATAGATTAATTGGTGTCAGCACCCTCATAAATATACTGACTTGACTGATACTCATGAAAGGAAATTTTGGCTGGGTAGACCTTATTCCAACACCACTGAACTGCTGTGATTGCCATTTGTCTGTGCAGCGTATGTGATGTCAACGGAAGGAAATATATATATTTCATTTTACAGTATCACAGACTCATAGAATGGTTGAGGTTGGAAGAGACTTCTACAGATGGTGTAGCTCAAACCCCCTGCTCAAGCAAGGGACACCTAGAGCACATGGCACAGGGTCTCATCCAGGCAGGTTTTGAACATCTCCAGAGAAGGAGACTTCACACCCTCTCTGGGCAGTCTGTTCCAGGGCTCTGTCACCCTCACAATAAAGAAGTTACTCCTCACATGGAGATGGAACTTCSTGTGTTGCAGCATGCATCCATTACCCGTTGTCCTGTCACTGGCCAGCACTGAGAAGCACTTGGCCCCATCTTCTTTACATTCTCCCCTCAGGTATTTGTATATATTGATCAGATCCCATCTCAGTCTTTTCTTCCCCAGGCTAAACATGCCCTACTTGCTTAGTCTCTCCTCATAAGATAGATGCTCCAGTCCCTTAATCGTCTTTGTAGCTCTACGCTGGACCCTCTCTAGAAGTTCCACATCTCTCTTGTACTTTCCAGGGATGGAGGTGAAGCTGATTTGCCTGCAGTGTCCTGGATCCTCTCTCTTGCCATTTTGGAAGACTAGAGTGATGTTGGCTTTCTTCCAGTCCTCCAGCACCTTCCGTGCTCTCCATGACCTCTCAAAGATGATGGAAAGTGGCTAAGCAATAACACTCGCCAGTTCCCTCAGCGCTCTTGGGTGCATCCCATCGGGACCCACAGATTTATGGGTCTTTACCTAAGTATTCTCTAACCCAATCTTCTTTGAACAGCAGAAAGTCTTCATCTTTCCTGTTTCTCTCTCTTGTGTGCAGGTTCTGTAGTTCATTGGGAGTAGCCTTAGCAGTAAAGACAGAAGCAAAGAAGGCATTAATTAACTACCTTCTCTGGATCCTCCAACACCAAGGCACTCGCCCCATTTAGCAGTGGGCCCACATTTTCCCTAGTCTTCCTMTTGCTGCTRATGTGTTTGTAGAAGCCCTTCCTGTTATTTCTGACATCTCTCGCTAGCTAATTCCAAATGGCCTTCCTTGTTGCATCTTTGCATTCTCTGACAATGTTCCTATATTGTTCCCTTGTGGTTTGTCTCTTCTTCCACATGATGTATGTGTTCTTTTTCTCTTGAAGATTTCCTAAGATCTCCTTGCCCAACTACACAGGTCTCTTGCCCTCCTTGCTCAAATTCATTCTTGCAGGAATGCGCTGACCCTGATCTTGGAGAAGGTGGTGCTTGAATATTGTCCAACTCTCCTGGATCCCCTTTTCCTTCTAGGATCCTGGTCCAGGGGATTCCTCCAAGCAGCTCCCTGAAGAGGTCAAATTTAGGTCTCTTGAAGTCCAGGGTTGCAATTCTGCTTCTTGCCTAGATTCCTCCTCACAGGATCATGAATTCCAGTTCATGGTCATTGCAACCAAGACTGCCCCCAATCCTCACATTTTCAATTAGACCATCTCTGTTTGTTAGTATCAGGCCTAGCAGTGCCCCTCTCCTTGTTGGTCCATCAACTACCTGCATCAAGAAGTTATTTGCAGTGCTCTGCAGGAACCTCTTGGACTGTCTGTTCCTAGCTGTGTGCCACATGGGAAGGCTATAGAAAGGCCAGGGGTTGAAGTCCCCTATAAAGACCGGGGCCTGTGATCAGGAGGCTTCTTGCAGCAGACCTGTAGAACGCCTCATCCACTCGCTCTTCCTGGCCAGAAGGTCCGGTATTAAACTCCTATGACAGTGTCGCCCCTGTTGGCCTGCCTTTTAATCTTCACCCACAGGCTCTTGACCCGTACTTTGCCCTCCCCGATGCTGATCTCCATACATTCCTGTTGCTCTCTCATGTAAAGAGCAACTCTGCCACCTTACCTTCCTGGCCTTTCCTTCCTTAAAAGCCTAAAGCCATCCATGGYCTATACATCCTTTCTGTATATCTAATGATACAGTTTTGAGAATCTGTTTATAAATTATTCTTCTCTAGGACATTACTTCAAGTTACCAGATTGGAAAATACTCATCTCATTTGCAGATTTTCCTTCTCCTTTGATGAGAACTCCTTTCTCCTTGGCCAAGCTCTACCCTGAAATGACATTTTTCTCTCTCTCTCTCTACTGCAAATGAATTGGTTTAGTGCATATGTCTGTGAGATACACTGATACCAGTTGCTTAGAAGTTCTGTAAATCTCACTTCAGTACATTAAGTTAAGAGACATACAGTGAGGATTATGGGCTCCACAAGCCCTCATACGGCAGCAGTGACCTTGACTCTGACAGGCACAGGTTTTCTTGAGGGCCACTCTTTCACACATCCAGCTCATGAAACACTGCATTCCCTGTTTTACTTAGAATATACTTAGGCAAGTTGGAATTTTTTTCAGTAATATTTTATGATATGAAACGCAAGAAAGAGAAGAAAAAAAAAAGAGAGATAACAACAGAGAGGGGGGGAAARGGATTTTTTTTCTTTTTAAGCCAAATTAGTAAACTTGAAAAAGATTGTGTCACTTGCCTTCAAGATAAAAAAATGAGTAAGTTGATTTTTTCCATCATATCATTTTCTTTTAAGCATTATATTTAATTTTCTGTCCTCAGGAACATGTCACATAATTTAGTGTTATTTTCCTCTAGTGTGGGGAATATGTGAGGGGAATGAGATAGTACGGAACAAAATATATAGGCATGGAGCTGCCAAGCTCCAAACTTTTGAGAAAGCATTACAAAAGCATAATTTTGTATTGAATTCAACTGAAAATGAAATTAAGTGAAGCTAGCCAATTAAAGAAGACTGAATTTTGCTTCAATTCTCCTTTGGAAATGCCTAAACATTTTATTTTAATTTCCTCCTTATCTAAATTTCTACAATTCCTGGATTGACTCATTTTTATTCTTATTTCATATAAAAAGTCAATTTTCATTATGATTAAATGCAAAATCTTAAACTGACATTAGATTATGTTAATCGCTCAGGATGGAAATTTCAACTTCATTTTATCCCTGACAAGTGTGAATCTCTATTAAAATTGAGTAAAGAATCCTACAGAAATATCTTTAATATCCGTTCTCATACAAAGTTATTATCAGCAGTGTTTCATTCTTTGCATGGAATAATGCTGGGATCTTTCTCAATAAAAAGTTCAATCRTGATCAAAAGGAGAAATTCAAATTTTACAGTTCATCTTAATGCTGGTAATTATATCCTTTGGATTAAATAAAAATCAGAGATACACCAGCTGAATTCAGCTGTCTGTACCTCATTCACCATGAATGTGAASAAGATTAGGTAAACTGTTAGTCATTTTACTTCATTAAAGTTGCCTCTAGAGTCCAGATTTTGCCAAGTTCTTACATTTTTTTTCTGAATATTAACGAAGTTGGAAGTGCATGTCAAATTCCCAAGCATAAAAAGAAAAAGAGACTGGTGGGTTACATCTTAGCCTCAAAAGAAGGTCAACACTTTATAATCACTTTGTAGAGATCCAGACTTCTCATTTCACTTCTAGATGCTTCCTAGACTTAGTCAATCTTCTGCCAACTCCTCATGAGATCCCAGTTTTTAAACTATGACCCCGACCAGCTGCCAGATAATTCCAGTCTCCCCCGTTCCAGTCTTCTCTCAGTTTCATGTATCCTGGTCCAGCTAATATAATTTTACCTTTCTCAGCTGCCAACATCCCTTATTCCCCAAAAGCCTATGTCTTTAAATCTACCTCCCTCCTCTTCACAGGTATTGCTTTTCTCATTGCATTTGAACCAAATTTCTACATTTCCCTCCAAAAATAAATACTAAGAAAATGAAAGTTTCTTTACTCAGATGCACTGCAGTCTCTGTGTTGTCAACAATCTGAGCTCACCTGTTAATACTTTAATGAAAAAGTATGAACTGAAAGTCCATTCAAGTCCAGTCTACTTGAAAGTCCAAGTCCAGTATCGTCAGAACAATCACAGTAATAGTCGAACATAAACATGATGCATCTGATATATAAATTTCAAGTCTCATGCCTTCRTGGAAAGTAGTGTTTTGCAGACAAAAGAATTTCTAATTCAATTCAGCATAAGCAAATTCATGAATATCTGTCTTTTCAGAGATAGAAGATGTGTTTTTACCTGATTTTTTTTTTTAAATTACCTATTGGGCAGGCAGGTTTTGCAATGTCTCCATACAAAAGTTTGCCATATCTTTAAATATCAGGTATCCCTACAAGTTTCTGTATAGTAATCATGATACCTTCCTTTGTGCATAAAATGCTTAAGTTTGTCTGTGTTTCTACAAAGGTGGCTTCGAAATGGAACTGAAATCAACATTGAAAGTGACTATCGCTACAGTTTAATAGAAGGAAGTTTGATCATCAGCAACCCCAGTGAAATGAAGGATTCTGGACAGTACCAGTGTTTAACAACGAACATATTTGGCAGTTTATTAAGCAAAGAGGCCTTTCTTCAATTTGCATGTGAGTAACATTTTTATTTAACATGGATAAATTAGATTTTTATATTGCTTGATGAGGTACTATATTGTCACCTGTCTATTTCACAGAAAACTTACACTATGGACTTTATTGGGTTTGGTTAGAATCTGAGGATTAGAAGCAAAATCCTTAGTGGGAAAGAGGCTTTTTTTTTTTTTTTCAAGAAGAGTCAGAATCAACTAGACTCTTTGAGAAGTGTCAGAATCAACTAAATAAGTCAGAATCAATTAGTAGAGAAAGTCAGAACCAGCTAATAAAGCATTTGGGCACATAGCCCAAATGTTATCTTTTAATGACCTACTTGTATATTCCACAGTGATATATTTCATTCACTGATATTTTTCTGAAATATGTATATCATTTAGTCACACTATTCAAACATGTGTCAGATTGCTTGTCCCTGAGCATGAGATGAAGAATATCAAACTTACCATAGAGTTGGAAAAAGTGTACCTATATTTGCCAGATATTCTGCATCTATAATTATATATATGAGAGTATAGTGTGTGTTAGCTTATTGGGATTATTATTATTATTATTATTATTATTATTATTAAAGTTAAGCCTTGCCATGAGGGTGCAAAAGGAGGTCAAGGGGTCAGAGCATATATTTTCACCCTTTGTGATAAATCCAAACCTCTCAGAGCTATTGTTTTAGTCTTCTCTGCTGCAAATGCTATTAAAGTATAAGGACTATCTACCTAAAGCATGGGGACTATCTACTCTCTTCCAAACTCACAACAGTACTGAGATCTCCTTTCCTCATAGCAGTATGTTTAAACTATAGACATCATAACAGTGTTCTTATCACTAGGTAATTTTGGAGTCCAATCTTAAATTTAGCTCTGAGAAAATTCCACTACATTTTATCTTTTAGACAACAAAACTATTGTAAAACAAATCACTGGGTTATAAAACCTGATAGACGGTAAGTATGGGTTGTGCTGGGGSTTTCAACCTCAGATTTTCATTCCCCTTTCAGGAAAATGGCTAAAAGGTGGTTATTTGACCCACACCTGCAGAAATGACAAGGATATAGAGAGCTGGTGCCAAAGTGGCTAGGTCCAGAGATCATAAAGAATCCCATTTGTTTCCAGCTACATTATACTGAAATGTGTTTTTTTCATTTGTTTGTTTTTTGTTTGGTTGGTTGGTTTTGACTACTTCAAGTAAAAAAAAAAAAATAGCTAAGGTTGTAAAGAAAGAATAAGTTTAAAAGGTTGAATCTTGTTGGGTTTTTTTGTTTTGTTTTGTTTTCATTAGCTCACACAAGTGCCTTGCAGATGTCAACATTCTTATACTACAATAACATGCATGTGTTTTCAGTTCTTTGAAGTGTTAGCTTGGGAATGGTATGCAGCTTTTTTAGGCAAGGTTGACAGAGGATTGCTAGCTGAAAGAGCTGAGGTGCAGCAAACAATATTGCAGAGCTTGCAATAGAGCTTGCACTGTTTTAAGTACATAAAGCTCTGTAAAAAAGATGCATAACTGGCATAACAGGTTAAGATTCTTTTAGAAGTTTGTGAGCAGACTTTCCATGCAAGCAAGAGGCCCTTAAACCTTATGGGATTTCTAAATACCATTTTGATAATTTCAGTATATTTTGATAAATTATAAAAAAAATCCCATTAAGGTATCTTCCATCTACTTCTTGAATCTTATCATTTAGCTTCTCTTATGAGCTCTTTTTACTTTAAATCCCCAGTAAATGTATGACATTTCTTCTCTGAAACACTATGTCAGTCTTTACTCATTTTTAATCTGTAAATTTATTGCCATAGTCCCCAAACAGTGAAGTTCTATTTTTCTGCAGTACGTTTTTCTGCATAAAAACTGAAGTAATATAGCACAACCAAAATAAATACAGTAATATCTCTTCATTCAAATCCCACGCACAAGCATCTTGGGCGCATCATATGTTTGCTTGTCCTCTTAAACTACAGCATACAGCAGTTATAAAATCCTTTGCTGTGAGCTGTTTTGATATGCTCAGTAAATTATTATTAATGGTTATTGGATAGAAATAATTGCTCATATGCTAAAAAATCTCCATTCATTGCAAAATGCACCCGGAAATATTTTCTTGCCCTTCAAGCATAGCCTGGAATAACAAATATGCACTTTTGAAATGTTATTTGCATCATGCAGTAATTCACAGTGTAAATTGGTGTCAATGTACTGGAACCTCAAAATAATCTATCAGAAGGTTAGATCAAACATAGTTTAGGAAATCAAACAGCAAATATATTAAAGATATATATTATTTTCATTCTGATTTCAGCTTTTGGTTATTTTTCTAAGATGCCCTTGAATTTTATCCAGTATGTTCAGCTAAACTTTCTTAAAGCAAAGAATAGAATATTTTCATTTTAATACTCTGGGGGAAGTATTGTTTACAATACTGGTTCTCAAAGTTCAAATATTCTTTATTTCTGTTAGAAAAAAAATGAAAGAATTTGCCTTTCAAATCCTTTARGAAAAACTCTTTACATTATAGCATGAATAAATCTTTTGTGAATTAAACCAGAATATTTTTGTGCCATATCACTTCATATCTAGAAATTTTTCACAATGTAATCCTAAGGTTTCTGAAATATTCTACTGATATTTTAACCAAGTAATATAGTATATGTAATTTCTTTGGAACCATTTATCTCATTTTAAAATCCATCAAACAGCTATAAATTTCATATAGTAGAATACAGTGGAATCAGCTTTAGCATCAACAGTGTTCATCAATCAGTAAGCAGGAATGAACAAGGGATTCTAAAGTGCTATACAGGTAGAGATGGACTCACCAATAATTATTTTATACTACTCTTGAATAAATGCATTAATTTTCAAAATGAATTTTCATCACTGTAATGCAATACTGTAAGATAAATGTTCAATATCTTTGTAATTGTGCATTTTAAAGTGATGATTTGCTAACAGCAGGCTTCAGAATCTGCAGTTATTTTCAACATGACAAAGAATAAAGCACTGAAAATGAAGTTAGTAGGTGGAAAATGTAGTTAATATGTAAATGAAGTAGAAGGCCTAACCTTCAAATAATTAAAGTAAATGATACTGTGCAATCTTACTGAGCTTTATTAGCCTTAAGGGTGATTCATAATTCCAGACGTAAAACAAGCATTTGTTTTATGAGATGTAGAGATACACAAAATGGCATCCAGTTTCTCTTTTTCATTGAAAGCCAAGGTTTCAAAAAACTTAGACCTTTACCATTTTGACAGGAAAATTTTAAAAAATAAATTCATAGATTTGCCTGAATGCATGGTTTGTACTGCTGTGGAAAATAGCTACATCTTTGCAGGTCACAGAGTTGCTATTCAAATTAGGGAGAGAAATCATGTATAGCTCAAAAAAGAAGATTATAAAGATCATTTAAAAGGGATTTGATGGTATCATACAGGAAAAAAAAATACAGCATATGCTACAATGTGCCTATGCAAAGTATAACGAAACTTGAAGAAAACGAGGAGCATGTGTTTTGCAATGGATCTTGCCTTTCTTACAACTGCATTACTAAAAACCTTGTTGCTGTGATTATTATTATGTAATTCATAACTTTCTTATGTATTACAAATATAAACATCTATGTACTATGCCACTAGTATAAGCCACTTGTATATGAGTGCCTAATTAAAATAGGACTTTGAAATACTTGTATGATTCCTTTGGATTTGAAAGAGGAAAATGTGAATGGAGGTGGGATAGAGAGAAAGAGAGAAAGTAWAAATTTACATAATTTTATAGAAGATAAAGAAAGAACACCTGAAGTGGCGTCCTGTATTCCTGATTATTTTATATATATATATGTATATATATGTATTATATACATATATATATATATGCTAGAAAGACCAGTTATGTGGAACTACAAATTTGTTCTGAGTTTTAAGTTACCATTGCAAATATTTACGTAGACCTAAAACAAGGAAAAAGTTTCCATTTCTTTTCCTTTTCTTTGCATTCCCTCTGATCTGCTGTGCCCAAGGCTGTTCTTTGTCATATTACTTTAATGAAGTAAGCAAGAAAAAGAGAAAAACAAAAGTAAAGAAATAAAAAGCAAGTACGTTTTTAAAGAAAAGTAAATATAGATTTTTATCTTCAATAGAATTTTATGAGAAAAAAGAAAGACACTGAAAAAATATGAAACAGATCAGAGTTTTTCTTCATAAAAATTTCAAGTTTAAGGTCTCAATGCAGAAGTTTGACTCAGCATGTTGTTAAAATGATAAAAAGGTATTTGTTTGCTTGAGCTTCAAATGCCATTTGTAAACACTCAAGGAAGAATTAATATACAAACCTTACATTCTCAGGAAGATTATCAGCTATTTAAAATGTAAGAATATAAGAGAAATGATTAATGAAATCTGATAGCCTGTCCTTATAATGGTGAACTTATTAGTTCTTGATGTGGTTACCTCTACAGAAATTTTAAATTTAAACTTTTTCTCAACCCTGGCTACATTAGGCATTTGTACACAAGTTTAAAAGGAGAGGTGTCATTTAAGTGAGTAGAACTTGATGGAAATTAAAATAAATAAATAAGTAAATAAATAAATACCAATTAAATCTACCCGCCTTACTACATAACTGGATAATTTTTTTTTTGTCTAAGTTTCCACGGTCTCTGCTTGTCATAATGTGCTGCAACTTTGATTATAACAGAAGATATAGCTTGTGCTGACATTTGCCACATGTACAATCTCTGTATTCTGTGAGGTCACAAAACAAAATTGCTTTTCTCCATTTGTGGATAAAGCAACCTGTGATATTTACAGCTGGCCTAAAAACAGAGCAAGTGTGAAGGGAAATAACTTTTCATCTGTCATTTGCAGAACTCCTCACAGTAATTTTACTTATCTTATTGTAAAAGGCTTTTGTGTAAAATTTTCCCTTTTTTTCTTTTTTTTTCTTTTTTTTTCTTTTTTTTGGGGAGATTGAATCCATTTTCTCATTTAATCTAGAGAGAG